TCTGCAGAGCTGCCTGGGGCTGGGCGTGTGGGTGAGCTGCTGACTTCTTGGCTCTCATTAGCTCTTCCTTGGCTTTTGGCAGGGGAAGGAAGAGGGGGAGGGAAGGAGGGGGCGAGCGAGGCTGAGTGGCAGCTGGCTCCCTGAGCTTCCCGCTCCCCATCTGACTTGCCTGCTGCATTCCTTGGCAGGCAGGACAGGAAAGCCTGTCGAAGAGATGCCACCCATCACGTGCCAAGGCTTCTGCAGCTTCCGGCCCTTGCTGCCGCAATGCCAAGGAGCAACTTGGCAAAGCTAAACTTCGATGCTCTCTTAGGAGGTGGATGAACGCCTGGTCCTCCTCTTCGCTCTCCTCCGTGGCCTCCAGTGCTTGCTCTGGCACCAGCAACCCCATTTCCCATCTTCAGCGCCCAAGGCTGGAGCCGATGAAGCTCTCAAGAGGGTAGGTGAGTTTCAACTGAGCGCCCAGACAAAGGTACCCAGGGAGGCTGACGCCAGCCTCACTCGGAGCTGCCATTTGCTCCTAACGTCGGTGCCATCACCCTCTGTGGCTTTTTCTGTGGAACTGGACGTGAGGAGCAAAGGACTTCTCCAGCTTCACTCCCCCCAGGTTGGAGTTCTTACCAGATGGCTTCAGCCACTATCTCAAACAGGGAGCTGCCGCCGTGGCTTGGCTAAGGGCTCCGTTTCCTCCTGCCCCCTCTCCCTTCCACGCATGCTCCTGGTCCTCTATGTCAGAGCCAGGCTCTCTGTGGTGAGGCCCCCTCCCCACTGTGGTAGACTCTGTGGAAGCTGAAGGAATAAGCATACAGAGAGAGAGAAGGGGGCCTGGTGCAGTGGCTCATGCCTGTAATCCCAGCACTTTGGGAGGCTGAGGCGGGCAGATCACTTGAGGTCAGGAGTTTGAGGCCAGCCTGGCAGCATGGTGAAACCCCATCTCTACTAAAAATACAAAAATTAGCCAGGCGTGGTGGCGCACACCTGTAATCCCAGCGACTTGGGAGGCTGAGACAGGAGAATCGCTTGAATCCAGGAGGCAGAGGTTGCAGGGAGCCGAGAGTACACCACTGTACTCCAGCCTGGGAGACCGAGACTCTGTCTCAAAAAAAAAAAAAAAAAAAAAAAAAATGCAGGAGGAGAGTGAGCCTTTTAGCTCTGGCCACCTTCATGCCCCCATTGTCCTCTGTCAACTGCAAAACCAGGAAGACAGCAGAGAGTGGCAGGCTGGTCAGCACCAAGCAACAGGAAACGGTCTTTAGTGAGAGAAGGCCCCTCCTCTCCTTGGTCAGTAGCCCCTGAGACTTCCCACCAAAGAATCTGAAGAGGAGCTGGAAGGTGAAGCAAAGGCAACCCGCAGTGACTAGCTAGATTTCTCCTACTGTGGCTTTCATAGTTTACAGCCACTGTGAGAGGAAGCTTCCCCGTGAGCAGGATTAGGCAGAGACAGGCTCTAAGTCACGTGACCTGAGGCCAGGTACGGGGGGCCTTTGAGAAGCAGCTATGTGCTACAGCTCTTTCTCAATCTGAGGCTCCTTGGACAAGTGCTGTCATGTACAGTGGTGTGGGTTTTTCACTGCACAAGGGCAACTGAGGGTTTTAGCTCTTAGCGATCCAAAAGCTAAACTTCAATGCTCTCTTAGGAGGTAGATGAATGCCTGGTCCTTCTCTCCCTTCTCCTCAGTGACCTCCAGTGCTTGCTCTGGCACCAGCAACCCATTTCCCATCTTCAGTGCCCAAGGCTGGAGCTGACGAAGCTCTCAAGAGGGTAGGTGAGTTTCAACCGAGCGCCCAGACAAAGGTACCCAGGGAGGCTGACGCCAGCCTCACTCGGGGCTGTGTTTTGCCTGGCCAGCTGGGCATCTGTGGGGTTGCGCCCACCGGAGGGAGTCTTGTTTTCCATTTTGGATGAATGCGCGTTGCAGGCTAGGTGCACCCTGCTGTGGACTTCAGTCACGTTTGGCTCAGAACCTGGGCCTTCCTGATCAAATGAGCAGGGTCTGTGGTTTCCGTCCACCAAATGACAGGATGCTTAGCACAGGGTCCCAGAGATTTGCTTTGTATATCCAAGTCCTGAGTGACATGGAATGAAGCTTGCATTGGAAAGAGGAGCTCACCCAGCACTTTCTCCATTGACTGGGGAGTGCCAGGCCTCTTCAGCACCCAAACTAACATGGCCCTAAAGATACCATGAAGCATGCTAAACGTCTTAGGATCTTGTGGAAAAGAGGGCATGTGTGTTAACAGATAATCCCTCTATGACATGGCACAACTTAAGACTTGGAAACAATTTGTTTTTTTCCATATGTTTCTCTTCTACCAAAAAAAGAAAGGCCATTGGCGTGTTCTGGGGAGAAATTCTGAATTCAGATTCAGTCTTGACAAGCCTCCAGCTGAGTGATCTAGCCAATCACCTGGATAGCTTTTGGTTTTTGTTTTGTTTTGTTTTGTTTTGTTTTGTTTGCCATTCATTAACCCTAAATAGCAGTTGGCCTCCCGTCTTTGGTCCGTGAGCTGCCCAGCTTTACTCCCCCATTGTCGTTATTAGCCCCGTGACGTGGGTTGTGTTCTTATGCATCTCTACCAGCAACACGGGAATGTTAGGAATGAGCCCTTCATTTAGTTTATACCTTGCAGTACACAGCAGATGAAACATTCACGTGGATGTTCTCTTAGATAAATGAAATACTTTATGCATATGATATTCAAAGAACGGCTATCAGATTGCGAGGCGTATTGGTTAGTCAGTTAGTTCTGTTGGATGAGACCACTGGGCTATTGAGATTAAATTCCTGCATTTCGGTCTTAAGTAATCCGAGAGCCAACACATGGGTCATATCCCTAAACTTCCATAGCTGTGGGCCATATCCCCAAACTTAGCCACATCTTGTGGGGGTATGGTGTCACCCCAAGAGCACGAGGAGCATGGATGAATGGCTATCCATCTCCACCAACGGAAACCCAAATTCCAAATGCATCGCCTATTGAGTCTCTTGTTCTTAAAAGAACAGCAGGGAATTTAGGTATTTTTTTTTTTTTTTCAGTTGGGCCTTTATCCATACCCTCCGGCCTCCTTCAGCTCGCCCTGAAGCTCTGTCAGTTCCCCATGTGTCCACTTCAGACACTTGGGGGTGACCTGCTGCTTTCTTGTTCCAAATGCTTTGCTAACAGACCTTGGAGAACCACTGAGCCAACATCACTTTTGGGATGAAGGGAAATCAATAAATGTTCCTCACAGAGTTGCGGCGAGACCATTCTTGCGTTTCCTGATACTCACTTCTCTTGAAAAGCAGCGTGAAGATTTCTGGATGTCCTGTTCAGGTACCCGGTTTCCTCTCTCTCACCCTCGGCCTGTGTGGTCACCCTGAAGAGCTTCTGGGGGGCTGTCACAGCTCTGCTTTTGTACAGTTTGTACCTGAGAGTCACAGGCACTCTTGGCTTGTCAGCAAAATCCCACAGAGTAGCCAGGCCTCAAAAGAGAGAGATGGGACCCCCTTCTCTCAGGCCATCATGGGGGACAGAAGGCCCAGAGGCCTTGCCTCCGACAGCCCGTGGCAGCTTTTTAGTGTGCGGAGCCACAAGGCCACGGCAAACCAGCCATGAAGACAGGCCAGGCAGCTGCAGGCCTTGCATTCTGTACCTTCTGATTTCTCACGAGGGAATGCCATGGAGAGGGAAGACAGAGGAAGGGAAGGGATGAATACCAATTTTTAATAGCCACCTACTAGTTATTTGATGTTTACATGTAGCAAATTGAAGACAATGTTTAAAGGCATTTAAAATGCATCTAACTATGACGGGTCAGTGACTAGGTTGCTTTCAACCCGAGATCCTTAGACTTTTTAATCTTAAAAGGATGAAATACGCATACCAGTCACACAGTAGTCAGATTTTACAAGGACTTTCCTCTTCAGCAGAGGTGGAACAAAGGCCAGTCAGTATCAGCAGGCTGCCGCCCTTCGGGAAGGGAATGTGGACAGTTCCCCGGGTGGGACCCCTGCTCCCTGGTTGCGATCTTGGTCCCCTCTGGTTTGATGTTCATGGTACAGGCAGGGCCCTGTGATTAAGCGGGATTGACTATTTCTTGGGCGCTGAGCTGGATGTTCACATCTTGGGGCGACCAGCATGGAAAGAGGAGATTGGCCTGTTATATTCTACAAAGCACGGTAGAGTGTCTCAGCCATGCAGCCCAGGGAAGAGCCACGGACTCCCCACTCCCACCTGTTGCCATGGCCGTCTTTACGTACCACTGCGGGAGCTCTATGACTGTCCAGGAGGGGCGGACCATGAAGCTGTAGGAACCTGAAGCCCATCTCGACCCACCCTGTCAGAATCAAGGCCTGAGGAGGCTGTGAAGACCTTGCCCCTGGGAGTACCCTGCACGGCACAGGGATTCAGCTACTGCCCTCCTCTCCCTCGTCCGATGTGAACATGAGGCCGATGGGGGCTGGAGGGGACTCATGCAGACGCGACTAACACACACGCCAGCTAGGCCGCAGCGCCGGGACCCATGCAGCACGGCCGCTTTCTGCACACAGCAAAAGCCGCCTACACAGCAACGTCAGCTCGCAACCCACACCGGCGTGACTGCCAGGGTTCACAGAGGGAAATTTGGCTTTTTTTTTTTTTTTTTTGAATGAGCTATGGTTCTGAGCCAATTTATTTCACGGTATAGTTCCATGGCTTCTCCCTGGGCTGCTGCAGAAGATGCACACGCTGCACGACTCCAAGGGCGGCAGGGCACTCAAAGCCATGAACCGACGATCAAATGCCCAGGCCTGAGGCTGGCTGATCAAGTGTGCACCTTCTGCAGAGGGAGCAGCTCGCTCTTTTTGCATTTTTATCCCTAGAATAGAAGCTGCAGACACTCGCAAAAGAAAAGGGCAGAGTTGAGGGAGAAAGCACTGGACTCCCTCCCACCCGAAAGGAAACAACCACCAAAGGAAAAAAAAGAAAAAAATCAAAATCAAAAGAAAACTGGACGGAAGAAAACCGGCTGAACTTACCACACTGCGAGTGAACTTTTCTAGGGAAGTTCTACGACCTTGCTCACTTTCTGGCTTTAGGAAAAAAAAAAAAAAAAAAAAGGTAGGGAGAAAAATACAGGGAAAAAAATCTTCAGCTTACACATGGTTTCCAAACAGCAGCAGCCGCAGCTAAAGAAGAACAAAAACCAAAGCAAAATGGGGTGAAAAATGGGAAAAGAGAAGCAGCCAGCACCGCTGGAAGAGTCAACGGGAGAGACAGAAGACAGAAGCCCACAAGAAACGGTGCTGCCTCCTTGGAGCAGTGAGCAGAGAAGAGGGTTTGCTTCCCCAGGGACCGTGAACTGCGCTGCGGGGCTTGGATTAGAAGCCATCACGACTTTGCACGGGACCACAGTTGGTGGGTTTGAGCAGCTTGCCTGCTGCTTTCAACCTGCCGTGCCCACAGGCAGGAGTCCTGGTGGCTGTGGTACTGAGGCCCTGGGGTCCTGGGGGCTCCAAGTCCTGACTCACCACAGACTAGCTCTGGGGGCCAGCGGGGCGTGGGAGGGGAGGGATGTCAGTAAGTGGCTGCTGGGGACGTGAAGTCATCTACTCATCCCTGAGTCTGGGTTAAGACTGTTCTCTCTTGAGGATTTCCCTGCCCAGAGGCAGCCAGAAAGTTTGCTAACTTCAGTGACTTCCTAATGACCCTCCTTCTGTGTCCTTAGAGCAAGGAGGGTCCACTCAGGGCCTTTGCCATGGACAAAGGGTCTTGGGTCTCAGAAGAGAGTGAGTCTTTTGACAATGGGGATTGTTCTGAGAAACAGAAAATACTCTTTCCGTATCCGAAAGGTGACATAACACCTGCCAAGATGTGAGCAGGACAGGCTAGAGGAAGCCCAGAAACCACTGTGGGAAGCTCTTAGATGAGGAGCCCAGAACAGGGGCGAGGAGAGGCAAAGCTCTTGACTGTCTTCCCAGGCCTAGCCCCCCTCCACTACAGGAGGAAAAGAGGTGTGGGGTGCTCCTGACCTTCCCTTCACCCTGCCTTTCCTACCTGCAGGGGTTTCGGGAGAGTAGAATGACTGCCCAAATACCTGCTAGTGGCTCCTGGAGCCCTGTTTCAGGGTCCTGAGGCCGAGGCTGAGAAGTTCAGAGGGTGCACACACTCACATAGACGCACACATACACCCAGCAAATAACCAAAATGAGGGAGCTAAAGAGGCAGCCGGGTGTCTGTGGGTCTGGAGAGTGTGCTGAGAGCAGAGGGGACAGTTCACACACAGCTGCCTGTCTGTGTGGATGAAGTCGGGGGCGTCCTTGGCAGCCAGGCCCCTTGTCAGCTCTGCCGGCTGCCAGAAGACAGACACAAGGTCGCAGAAGGAAAACACAACACAAACACCACACCACCAGAGAGTCGGGCTGGGCTGGCTTTTGCACTAGACTCATGCTTGACCCCGGCTACCATACCAAGTCTCTGTTCTGGGGAGGGCAAGACTCAGCTTTAACCCTGTGGCCAGCCTGGGTGGCATGCATTTGGCTCAAGCCCGGCCAGTCCTGGCCCTGCAGCCGCCATTCTCGGTCTATCACTCATGGCCTCCGGCTCACAGAGGGTGGCCGCTGGTCTGGCTCACTTGGGCTCCTCTGCCTTGCACTGGTCACTGAGCTGACCTGGAAAACCATCACTGGGACCAGTTTCCTAGAATAGCCCTCAGGACTCAGCTCACCTACCCTCTGAGAACCTGGTTCTTCAATGTGACTATCATTGATTTTGAGAATATTAGAGAAGAGGCTGTGCCTCAAGACTCTGTCCAGGTCAGTTCTCAGCAGAAAAATGAGGCCAATTCATACTCCCCCTCTCTCCGCTGGAGGTTGTGAATCTCACATACCTTTTATGACCTGGATACAGTGAGCCCATCCCTGAAATCAGACGAATACTCTAGGCCTACCTGAAAGTGCCGAGTTACAGATCAGATCCGTACCTGGAGACTCTCAGGAAGAAATAGAAGTAGGTTTTGTCACTGTTCTGGGAAGCAGCTCCTCGGTATTGAAATGTTGATTTCTGCAAAGGTTTCCTGTCTCAAGAACATCCCTGACTTCGGGAGCTGGGAGGATAATTCTAAGGAACTTTTACCAGGCAGGCTGCCTGTTCCTTCCTCACTCTGGTGACCTCCTCTGAGAGGTTTTCTTCTTGGAAGGTAGGATCTGCAGGCACCAGGGTCTCAGCATGGTTTGGGGTACATTTTTCCTTCATGATGAAACCCGTAAGGAGAATGAATGGCCTCTAGCTTCTCCTCTTCGAGGTATGTAGACAGGCCCAGATTGGTCACACTGCTAGAGCCTTAAAATGTCCCCAAATTGTGATCAGGTCAGGTGTCTTGAGCCACAGAAAATAAGGAAAACTTACTTTGACCTTTGCCCATGAGATCTGGGCTGCAGATATCCAAAGTTCCTATAACCTTTCTTTCCTCTAGTTCTTAGAAAAAATGGGCATTAGTGCCATGTCTGGGGGTGTCGGCCTCCTCCAAAGGAGCCTCTCCATTGACATCCTCCAGCGAGAGTCGACAGGAGGCCAAGCTCCACACTGTCCGTCACGGTAGCCACACCTGACGGGGAGGGATGCAGGAAGCCCAGAGAGCTGAGCTGTTGACAACTGGGATGCCCCAGAATTCCTCTTCCCTTTCTGACTATGGCCTCTTCCCAGGGGTACGCAAGGGTGGGAGAGCAGGGTACAAATGCTCTCTGGGACTCTGGAGCTGTGTGGTCCCTACCAGATACGCAGACAGGATCCCGGCACATGAGGGTGACGCACACAGAGAGAAGGCTTGCATGGCTGAAAGGCAGCCCAAAGGAGAGCGTGGGGTGGACAACCATGTGCTTCGGGCCTGGCGCGGAGAAGCCAGGAGGGAGGAGAAAGGGACGCATGTGCTTTTAAGTGGCATGGCACAGAAGTCGTGGGGTTTTATGCAAGTTGAGCCACACTTAACCACACATGGGGCTCAGATCAGCTGAAAAGCACAGAGGGTGGGCAGGCAGACTAAAACCAGAGCCCTCTCTTTTGCCCTCCATTCCCTTCCTGGACCCTATTCCCCTGCATGCTGAGGACCCCTGCACCACAAATGCATCACTCCACGGGCTGCAAGAAACCATGGCTGAGTTCTAAAGAAGAGGAGGAGGAAGGAGCTGGGTGCAGGTACTTCTTGGTTAAGAGAGAAAACGCGGTGGGGCAGGTGAGGGAGAGGAAGGGGGTGTCCGCGAGGGAGAAACCCCAGGATGACTTCAGGTACTGGATCATGCTCTTGATACCGACAAGACTTTCTGTCCAGTGAGGGAGCTGCCCCAACCGTGGCCTCATCTTCATCTCTAGGCTGGTCAGGGAGAGAAGTCTGAAGGGAGGGGTCTGGACTTTGCAGTGAGGGGCTCTCTCCAGTGTCCTGAGGGTTTTGCAGGTGCTGCTGTCAGCCCCTTGCTCCTGTGCTGAGCCACTGTGGCCTTGGCATTTTGTCACCCCACATACCCGCCCCCGCCATGGGCGGGACATGCAGACAGAGGCAATAGGGATGTGGAGGCAGGATGTCCCCTCCTGGACTTAGTGGTGGGGTTGGGGTGGTGACCATCCTAACTGTTTTCCATTAGAATGGGAGCAGACAGAGAAGGGAAAGAAGAAAAGGGGCAACAAAACCCAAGGGGTGACATTCTCATTTCAAACCAGCAGCAAGCAGCAGGCAAGAGTAAACAGTGCTAAGAAGGGCAAGCCTGCCCTTCCCAGAGATACCTTCTTCTTGGCCAGCAGCAAGTCCTGGTAAGCATTGGACCGGAGGAAGCGGGCATAGCTGTCACTTTTCATCAGCTTGTAGATGTGCTCCTGGGGAGGAAGGCGACAAGGAGACACAAGGAAGGGCTGTCAGCCAGTGCTAAAGAATATTACAATCCAATGGGTCAGTCACTCTTTGGGGGAAAGAGACGAAGGAACCTGGGTCTGTTTGCATGTACCTGGAAAAACCTGCAGCATGTTCCACCCCCAACCCCCCAACCTCAGACACACCAAACAAATAAAAGATCCCTGAGAATCATATCCCAAGGGCTTTGTAACTGGACTTGGGTGCCATGTTGGGGTGCTTAATGATTACAACCAGACACAGCAATGAGAAGGGACAAACTGTTCTTACACCCAACAGCTTGGATGATCTCAAGGGAATTATGAGTGAAAAAGCCACGCTCCAGATTATAAACTATATTTCATGTATGTAACATTCTTGAAATGACAAATTAGAGATAAAGAACAGATGAGTGTTGCTGGGGTTAGAGATGAGTGAGGACAGGGAGTGAGGGAGGTATGGTTATAAAAGGCAACAGGAAGTATCCTTGTGGTGACTGAATGGTTCTGTATTTTGACATGTCTTAACCCACATGATAAAGTGGTATAGAACTAAATGCACACATACATGGGGACAAGTAAAGTTGACAGCTATGAATAAAGTCAGGGGATTGTAGCCATGTCCATCACACGGCTGTGATACTGTACTATAGTTTTGCAAGATGTTGCTGTTAGGGAAAATGGCACATTATTTCTTACAACTGCATCAGAATCAATATGTAGTATCTCAAAAAGTTTAACTGAAAAAAACAAAAAAAAAACCCACACACACAAAAAAACAAACAAAAAACCAGGCAACTGGGATTTCTACCAAGATGGCTGAATAGGAACAACTCCAAAGCGCAGTTTCCAGAGAGGGATGTAGAAGGCGAGTGATCTCTGCATTTCCAACTGAGGTTCCAGGTTCATCTCATTGGGACTGGTTAGACAGTGGGTGCAGCCCAAGAGGGTGAGCCAAAGCAGGGTGGGGCGTCACCTCACCCGGGAAACACAAGGGGCTGGAGAACTCCCTCTTCTAGCCAAGGGAAGCCATTAGGGACTTTTCCCGACACTCTGGCACTCCGGCTCAGATACTGTGCTTTTTCCATGGTCTTCGGTCTTCACAACCCACAGACCAGGAGATTCCCTCTGGTGCTTGCAACACCCGTGCCCCAGGTTTCCAGCACAAAACTGGGTGGCCATTTTAGCTGCAGTGGTTTTTTTGTTTTTGTTTTTCTCATATCCCAGTAGCACCTGGAACGTCAGTGAGACAGAACCTATCAATCATTCCCCTGATAAAGGGGGCTGAAGCCAGGGAGCCTAGAGATCTGGCTTGGCAGGTCCCACCTCCATGAAGAGCAGCAAGCTAAGATCCACTGGCTTGAAATTCTTGCAGCCAGCACAGCAGCTCGACCTGGGACATTCGAGCTCAGTAGAGGGAGGGGGTCCACCATTGCTGAGGCTCTGGTAGGCGGTTTTCACCTTGCCTATGTAGGCAAAGTCCCTGGGAAGTTTACACAATAACTGGGTGGAGCCCACAGCAGCTCAGCAAGGCCTCTGCAGGCAGACAGTCACTAGACTCCCATCTTGCTGGGCAGGGCATCTGTGAAAAAATGCAGCAGGCTGTCAGGGCTGTTTTATTTATTTTATAAATAAAACACCCACCTTCCTGGGACAGAGCACCAGGGAAAAGGGGTGGTTGTGGCTTCAACTTCAGCAGACTTAAACATCCCTGCCTGGTAGCTCTGAAGGGAGCAATGGATCTCCCAGCACAGTGCTCAAGCTCCAATAAAGGACAGACTGCCTCCATAAGTGGCTCCCTGACCCCCTGTGTATCCTGACTGGTAGACACCTCATACAGGAGAGCTCAAGCTGACATCTGGCAGGTACCCTTCTGGGAGGAAGCTTCCAGAGGAAGGAACAGGCAGCAATCTTTGCTGTTCTGCAGCCCCCACAGGTGATTTCCCAGGCAAGCAGTTTCTGGAGTGAACCTCCAGCAAACTCCAGCAGACCTGCAGCAGAGGGGCCTGTTAGAAGGAAAACTAACAGAAAGAAATAGGTTCAACATCAACAGAAAAGTCCACTCAGAGACCCCATCCAAAGGTCAGCAACTGCAAAGACCAAAGGTACATAAATCCATGAAGATGGGAAGAAACCAGTGCCAAAGGGCTGAAACCTCCAAAACCCAGAATGCCTATTCTCCTCCAAGGAATCACAACTGCTCACCAGCAAGGGAACAAAACTGGATGGAGAATGAATTTGATGAATTGACAGAAGCAGGCTTCAGAAAGTGCATAATAACAAACTTCTCCGAGCTAAAGGAGCATGTTCTAACCCAATACAAGGAAGCTAAGAACCTTGAAAAAAGGTTAGATGAAATGCTAACTAGAATAACCAGCATAGAGAAGAACATAAATGACTTCATGGAGCTGAAAAACACAGCACGAGAACTTCGTGAAGCATGCACAAGTGTCGACAGCCAAATCATTTAAGCAGAAGAGAGGATATTAGAGATTGAAGATCAACTCAATGAAATAAGGTGAGAAGGCAAGATTAGAGGAAAAAAAGTGAAAAGAAATGAACAAAGTCTCCATGAACAATGGCATGTGAAAAGACCAAATCTACGTTTGATCAGTGTACCTGAAAATGACAGGAAAAATGAAACCAAGCTGGAAAACACTCTTCAGGATATTATGCAGGTGAACTTTCCCACCCTAGCAAGGCAGGCCAACATTCAAATTCCGGAAATACAGAGAACACCACAAAGATATCCTTCAAGGAGAGCAACCCCAAGACACATAGTCATCAGATTCACCAGGGTGGATATGAAGGAAAAAAGGCTAAAGGCAGCCAGAGAGAAAGGTCGGGTTACTCACAAAGGGAAGCCAATTAGACTCACAGCGGATCTCTCAGCAGAAACCCTATAATCCTGAAGAGAGTGGGGGCCAACAGTCAACATCCTTAAAGAAAAGAACTTTCAACCCAGAATTTCATATCCAGCCAAACTAAGCTTGATAAGTGAAGGAGAAATAAAATTCTTTATGGACAAGCAACTGCTGAGAGATTTCATCACCACCAGGCCTGCCTTATAAGAGCTCCTGAAGGAAGCACTAAACATGGAAAGGAACAACCAATACCAGCCACTGCAAAAACATACCAAATTGTAAAGAGCATCGACACTATGAAGAAACTGCATCAACTCACAGGCAAAACAACCAGCTAGCATCAATTTGGTAGGATCAATTCACACATAACAATATTAACCCTAAATGTAAATGGGCTAAATGCCCCAATCAAATGACACAGATTGGCAAATTGGATAGAGTCAAGACCCCTTAGTGTGCTACATTCATGAGACCCAACTCATGTGCAAATACACACATGGGCTCAAAATAAAGGGATGGAGGAAGATTTACCAAGCAAATGGAGAGCAAAAAAAAAAAAAAAAAAAAAAAAAAGCAGGGGTTGCAATCCTAGTCTCTGATGAAACAGATCAACAGACAAAGGCAGTAACATCATACAGGGAGGGATCCAAGATGGCCGATTAGGTGCAGCTCTCAGCAAGAGCATGGAGGGTGAGTGGACACTGCATTTCCAGATGGATTTTTATTGCCCAAAGACCAGGAGATTCTTGGGTGGAGGAGCCCCATGGGTCACCAGGGTGGCTGTTTTGGCCAGTGCAGTGGGTCTCTGCACAAAATACACGGGTCTGGGTGCCGTTTTAGCTGGTGATTGGAGTGCCTGGGAGACAGAGTTGCATGTTCAACTGATAAAAAGGGGACTGAAACAGGGAGCCAGGCCAGGAGATTCCCAGGTGAAAAAGTGCCATGAATCTTCATCATGGCTGTTTCAGCTGGCACAGTGGGTCACCGCACAGGAAACCATACAGATCCCAGCACCTTTTCAACAGGCAAGTGGAATGCCTGGGAGATAGAGTTGCCCATTCAACTTAAAAAAAAAAAAAAGAAAGAAAAAGAAAAAAAAAGGGGACTGAAACAGGAAGCCAGGCCAGGAGATTCCTGGACCAAAACGTGCCACGAATCTCCAGCGCAGCTGTTTCAGCCAGTGCAGTGGGTCGCTGCTCGGTAAATCACACAGATCTGGGCGCCTTTTCAATGGGTGACTGGAACATCTGGGAGACAGAGTCGCCCATTCAGCTGAAAAAAAGGGGACTGAAACAGGGAGCCAGGCGAGGAGATTCCTGGGCAAAAAAGCACCATGAGCCCCCAGTGTGGCTGTTTCAGCTGGTGCAGTGGGTCTCTGCAGAAAATCTCACACAAATCCGGGTGCCTTTTCAACTGGTGACTGGAACACCTGGGAGACAGAGTCGCCTGTTCAACTGAAAAAAGTGGCACTGAAACCGGGAGCTAGGCCAGGAGATTGCCTGGCGAAAAAGCACCACGAGTCTCCAGCAGCTGTTTCAGCCAGGGCAGTGCGTCTACACACAAGAAATCATATAAATCCGCACACCGTTTCAACTGGTGATTGGGACATCTAGGGGACAGAGTTGCCTGTTCAACTGAGGAAAAAGAAAGAATTCTGAGGCAGGGAGCCAGGTGATCAGGCTCAGCCAGTCCCACCCCCACACAAAACAGCAATCCGAAATGCTCTGGATTGAGAGTTTCACAGCAAGCACAGCTGAACCCGGGACAGTCCAGCTCTGTGGGGGAGGGGCGTCCACCATTATTGAGGCAGTCCACCACTACCAAGGCAGTCTACCATTACTGACGCAGTCTGCCATTACCGAGGCAATCTGCCATTACTGAAGCAGTTTGCCATTACAGAGACAGTCTGCCATTACTGAGGCAGACTGCCATTACCGAGGCAGTCCACCACTACTGAGGTAGTCCACCATTGCTGAGGTAGCCCGCCATTGCCAAGGCAGTCCACCATTGCAGAGACAGTCTGCCATTACAGAGGCGGGCCTCCATTGCCGAGGCAGTTCTAACTATACCCCTATAAACAGGACCGCAGGGAAGTTCACACAGCAGCTGGGCAGAGCCCACAGC